CCAAAGGTAATTGGTTGACACAAAACATGTTGGTTTTAAAAAAGTAAACAAGTTTCTATTGATCACATTTACGTATTTCTATTATATTATAGATGATGTAGGAAAGAAAGTTTTAAAAGAAGTTTATCTCCAACTGTATATATTTGATCCCAGGAAACAATTATGACACTAAAAGGTGGAGTAAATCTGTATAAAAAAATTCTATTTCTTCTTTAAGTTCCTCAAATGGTGAAAAGGCTCCCTAAGATGAAAGCTGAGGTCTTTTAGTTTCTCTTAAACTATTTTAATCCAGTATACACTTAAATGAAGACTTATTTAATGCCACAAATAGTGATAAAGAAGACTTATTTTGAGATCTAAATGAAACAAAGAAGAATATTTCAATTAGGCAAGATCTCTTTTGAGAAGAGGTTGTGAAATAAAAAAGAATTTTTTGGAGGGTTTTGAATTGTTTTTTATTTTTTCCCTTTCCCAGTTTAACTTCAGCAATTTATCAGTTTTGTGGATAATCGACAGTAACAATCTATTGGCAATAATCCTGGTTGTCTTAAAGATACTATGCCAAGATATTAGAAGAGCATAATATTGTTCCCTAAATCTGTCTTAGAGTGTCTATTTAAGACTTAGTTTTGTTTAGTCTAAATTAGCTTAGTGGAATCCTCATATTTTTTAAGTAGTGTAGTTCTTCAACTAATAATGTATAAAGATGAGTTAGTTATTATGTGAGAAGGTCTGTAAATTATTTTAGTATTTTTTCAAGTATCTTAATAAAGACAAGCTATTTTGATATAATTGTATATTAAAAAAAAATAATAATAATTACTATAGTTATAAAAAACCTTTTCTGCTGATTCTCTAACAATATACAAAAAAGATATTTATAAAAAGTTTTTATACTTCCTGGTTAATAAAGTTTTTATACTTTTTTTAATACAACTTGAAGCTTGTCTTCAAGAGTTATTACCATCCTTACTTACTTGTTTATAAACTTCTTTAAATAAAAACTTGAATCTCAGATAGCCTGAATAAACTCAAGCATGTATTTTTTTCTACTAAAGGCAGATAGTTTTAGAAAGTGAAAGAATCAACTAGTAAAGTATTATTCTTTAGAGCTCAAAGTAACATGTAAATAAAAATTTTCTAAGCAAGAGAAGGTTTATTATCTATCTTTTCATATACCATCTTTTACTCTCTTAGAGTATTTACAGTTTTTTACAGTTTTTTTGAAGAATTTTGTCTATCTCAACTTGATCTTAAATTTTTAATTACACAATATTATTTGACTTTTAATTGATTAACATGAAACATATTGATAATAAAATATAAACAAGGTTTTATTAGCCAAATTCATGTATTTTAATAATGTTATTGATAAATGAAAAATAATCTATTGATATAAAATTTTCTACTTTTTCTAATAAAGTGTAACCAAAACGAATAAATTATAAGTCCATTATAATGGACATAAATTCTTTATGTAATGAAAAAGTAGTTATTTGTTTAAGCTGAGACTTTTGTTTTTAATAATTCCAGTTAAGAAAAATATTACAGGAAATTATTTTCGTATTCTAGTTTAATTGTAAGATAAAAAAGTAAAGAAATGCAAGACATTACTCTTTTCTATAATTGAGTATGTATTTTTCTAAATATTGTGTAATAATATTGTAATTGATAAGAATTTCTATTATAGTTTTGTTTCTTATATCATTATAAGGTAAAAAAAATTGTTGAGAAATTTGACTTTTTAATGCTTATCAGTAAAATTCTTTTAATTAGATGTGATTGCTGGAAAATATCAAGAGTTATATAATATAACTAAAAAGTCATATAAGAATCTGAGGTTCACTATTAGTTATTTTTTTTTGCCCAAGTGAATACAAAATCAAGATTAAAAGAAAGAAAGTATTGAGCAAGACATTGAATTAGAGTAGGTGATAAGTATCTTAGATAGTCACAAGAAAATAATTGAAATCATAGATAAATAAGTTTCTTAGATCATTAAGAAGAAAAGAATATTTTAGAAGAGTTGATTTCTAATGGGAAGAGATTTTTAATAGAAGTTTTTTATTAATAATATAGAGCTATAACATATATAATGTTAGGAAGTTATTTCATCATAATATATTTTAGTTAAAGAAAAACTTTATTAAATATAAATAAGAAGCAAACAACTTTGAATTATCAATAAAGAATAAAGATAATCTTTAAATACAAGTTTTTTTAATATAAATAAATATAATAAAAATACATAAAATAATATGCATATAATTTTAGTGATACTTCCAAAAGATTATATATATGTAATTAATAAAAATAAAAATAAAATAAAATAAAGAATAATATAATAAAGACAATTATAATAAAATACAATATCAAATAAATATGTCTATAATACCTTTTATTACTTATTAATATCAAATGCTACTATTATTATAAATCTATTGGTGTTTATTTATATATTATTAGTAATTCAGGTCTCATATCATCTCAGAGTTTCAAAATCAATAGTCAGGTTATATAATCTTAAATATCATATATTTTTAATAATCATTAGTGTTTTACAACTGGAGATCTAAATACTTGATTATCTTGAAATCCAATTTGACAATATTTTTCTAATTTTTAAGAAAAAATATTTATTTTATCAAATACCCATAGTTTCCTAGACTGTTTCAGCAATTGTTATCTGATTTTTAGGTATAAAATAATACTTTCATTGGGCAACATAGGTAAACTTGTTACAGGGATGCTTTTATTTTTCTTTTTTTGTTTTCTTTCTTATGTAGTATGTTTGCACATTTTTAGATATTGCTTTTTTTTTTTATTTCTCCCCCTTCCTTTTTATAGTTTTGTGAAATCAGTTCCTTGAAGAATAATAAGTAATGACAACCTGTTAACAATGATGTGTAAATTAGAAGGGTGTTTGCACAAAATCTATTATGGAGTGAAATATTGTTCTCAAGGTCGCATTTAGAGGTTGATGCTCTTTTGAGAATTGAAAACTATTGATGAGTAAGTCAATATGTGATTTAAATACACAGTGCTGGCCTGATCATGGGTTTAAAAAAATAATTACTATAGCTATTCTAATATTTTGTCATGCATAAATTACATTATTATTACCTCGGCTTATCGTATTTTTATCTTTTAGTCATGAATGGATTGTTTGCGCATTCTTTTTTCTTGTTAGGGTGTATGTTGATGGTCGGCAATGGATTGTTTCGCGTAAGCTTCAATCGTGTCTTGATCGGCAACCACGTGACCACGGCGAAAATCGCATATTCGGTATTTTTCTTCTTTTGCCATTAACAATATTTATTTCTTTGGTTTTTTATTCGTTTATTATTATAGAGAACAATTTTGGATTTTAAGGGAAACATTAAATATAAAATTTTGAAACGGTTAAATTAATTCAAAGAAATTTATTTGTTTGTAAATGCTTTTTTTTTTTTTTTTAGATTATTAAGTCTATGCCTAATGTGATATTAATAGAATCTTATAATATAAAGTTCAAATTTTTATATCAAATATTCACCATACGTACGTAGATCCCAATAAGCGAGTCAGATCAGTACTCTAAATAATGAGCTTTTTCGGGACCCCAGTATTTATTAAAAGTCAATTGGCATTTTCTACTTTTAAGTAATATAATTCAAATGTGTATTTAAAGTTAGAATTTTGGTTTTTTAAAAAAGAATTCAGAAAAATTATTCTTTGATGAAATACAGTATCCTTGATATTTCGAAATGTTTATTTTATTTTTTATATTATCAACCCATCAGATCTACATATGAAGATTGAATGGTAATTAAAAATTGGTTTGGCCAAACATTAGGGCAATAGTCAGTGTAGAGATTTATTGCAATTGGATCAAATATTTATAACTCCAGTCAGAATGACAAACAATTTGGCCGACAAGCGCGTCACAATACAAACCTCGTCATGTATTCCCTCATAATAATTTTTACAATTTGATCTAATTTAAAGAATGAATTATTAATTGAATCGCCTGTCCCACCAATTTTTATCATAATTGCTAATATAAATGGCGAAATACGTATGCTGTGGTTGCGTAACTCGATTAAGCTTTATATAAACAACAATGTAACGCGTAAATTTAATTAACCAAACAAAAACCATCTTCGAATCAGATATCGCTTCTCTTTATTGAATAAGATATAAAGAGAATCAACCAAACAATTTTCTATATCTCGAAATTTGATGATTTTGTTGGTGTCGCATTTGGTTACGAGAGCTACTCGGGTTTGGCAGTGAACTGTAATTTGGTCTGATTCGTAATTGGAAATCTCAGTGTAACAATAACCGGTAGTTCATTTGAATTACGTAGTACGCAACTTAAAATACAAATTTCACATGAGCCATACCAAATATATTCAACAATAACATTCTGCGTTTTACGTAGCGTTAATTTATAAAAGGATTGGATACTGCGTTCTTAATATTTTTCTTTTGAAAAAGATTATTACCCAAGGTAATTTATTGAAAACTGATGTATTACGAGTGTTTGTTCATTGCTACGACCATTTCTCTTCTAGATGACTTTCCGATGCGCCGACACCATAGTATCGCTATTCATTATTTATTTACTGTTACGTTTTTTTATTATTTGACGGGATATTTCAGCGCCAATGGACCAGTCCCAGTTTTATGTGCAAATTCTGATTTTGGAATCAACGATCGAAGTACTACACTCGATTGATGTGATCGATTGGTTCTTATTCATGATTCAAATTCTCAAATATGAACTCAATCGATTGATTGCTGCCAAACATAAAACTGCAACAGGGTTTGAGTCTGTTGTTTTCTAGATAAGGAATGGTCTTCGATCTTTAGTTTACATACGTTTTCCTGTAAATTTTAGAATTCATTGAGAAAAAGGAAGCATGGATTAGTTAGAATTAAGAATTTTGCAACCTTGAGTTAATTTAAATAAACGTCTTCATGCCACGACACGGCTATTCCGCATAACAATATTTGTGATGAGCGACATTCGTTATGAATTTGCAAATTCCACGTATAGCAAGGCATTTGTTCTCATAGATTTATGTGCCACTCATACGATGAAAGAAATTATCATGTTTATGAGTAAAAAAATTAATGAGAATGAAGAGCTCACTTCAGCAGAGAAAGAATATCTGCTGGAGCGGACGCAAAGAGACGCAGATGGTTATTGTGTTTTATCTCAAACCGGGAGCAAAAGGCAATGTGAATATTGCATAAACTGGTCTTATGCAATCAATTACTGCGAGCATTGTGTTAGAAAATATCTAACAGACAATTTTTCCAATTGGACTTCTGGAAATGACGAGATTAATGCGATAATTCAAGAGTGTCAAGAATCAATGGTCATACCAAGCAGAATAGTGGAATGGATACCTTTTGGAAATCTAAAAAATATCGAGTATAAGACAAGAGGAGGCTATGCGTCTATCTTTAAAGCAAGATGGAAAGATGGTCGTTTTGACAAATGGAATTATGAAAAACAAAAACTTGAAAGGAGAGGATCGATGGATGTGATTCTCAAGCAATTAGATAATTCAAGAAATCTAAAGTCGAAATGGTTTCAAGAGGTGATTAGTGCATTTACGCGCATTCATACGATCGATTGTTTATTAATAATATTTTTTTCTCATTGTCATCGTTCGTATCACGCAGACAAAAACGCATCTTAAATGTGTAACTAAAGCAAATCTTAATGTGGTTAAGTGTTACGGTTTAACACGAGACCCCACTACGGGCGATTATATGCTTGTTTTAGGTCACATGAATTGTAATCTACGTGAATTTTTGGGACAAAATATCTCAATTACCTGGCAGCAAAAAATCAAGATTCTCTATGAGATTATTTATTCTCTTAACAACATTCACAACAACGAAATCGTTCACAGGGACTTACACTCAGGAAACGTATTATATAATCCCGTTAATGTGATCTGGTACATTAGTGACCTGGGATTTTGTGGTCCGGTTGATGCAGATCCTATCGGAGTCTATGGAAACCTTCCGTATGTTTCCCCGGAAGTTTTATGTGGAAGACCGTATGTGAAAAGCTCGGATATTTATAGCTTTGGAATGTTGATGTGGGAGACATCGTCCGGAAATCCACCATTTTATGATCGAAACCATGATGTGAGTCTTGCTACTGATATTGTGCAAGGGGTAAGACCAAAGATTAAGAAAAAAACGCCAGAGTGGTACACCAGCTTAATGAAGGGATGTTGGGACGCCAATCCAGAAAATCGTCCAACATCAGAGGAAATTTTCCGTGAAGTCAGTGAGAGGTTACGGTCAATTTATCGAAATGAGTTGGAGGTTGATTTCATGACTATCTCTGATAAAGCGTCGATCTCGGGTAGTGAATATACGAATAAATCAAGAACTGATTTGACAAGCGATCATTCCAGCAAACTGTATTCATTTCAAAATCTTCTGGAGCCTAAGAATGTGAATGAAGGTAATTAATTGACCTGAAGGTTTGGCTTAAAAAATCAAACGCTTGAATAAACGCTAATAAACTGTGTACTGTATACTGTATATTACATATTAATTTCCGAAGAAAATCAAGGTACATACCGTATATACTGTACTATAATAAGCTTTGCTTAGTCCTTCCTTGATCGTTAATTTCCAATTTTACGTGAAAAGCATATAATAGCATGCAACTTGAACTTGTCTTACCTCAAGGTAATTCATATTAAATATTGATTTTAAATCAAATTCACGTAAAATCAATCCCTCCCCTCATTTTTCTACAGATCATCCGGTGGAACGTAAATTGGATTTCACGTGCGGTATTAAGGAAATTTTAATATGATATAAAATTGTTCAAGAAACGCATTGACTACTAATAAATTGATTAATTGGTTGATTTTATAAGGTAAGGCGTGATTGAAATATTGTAAATTGCACGCGTGCATTTAAATAGTTAGATTCATGATTGTTTGATTTTTTTTCAAAGGTACAAATTTAAAAGACGTTACCGAACAATCTGATGTGGCCGATCAACGAGTACTTGAGATTGAGAGCGAAATTGGTAAAGTCACTTTTTTCAAACGTTGTGACCTGGTGTGTACTATTCTGACAACTTTTTTTGCAGGGTTTGACGCGAGTTTAGAAAACGACGGCGATATCAAAGAAATGGCTTTAAACAATCAAGATATGGACCGTAAGCATATTGCGATTTGTATTTCTGTGCTTTAATCGAACCTTTATTTATAAATACAGTACTATTTTTAGATTCGCATGATGACCTGGGAATTCCCGAAGCAAATGGCAAGTATTTGGAGTTGCTTTTTCACGAATTCTTTTAACCGTCTAATTATTAATATTTTATGTTAACCAGAAAAATCGAGTCACGATGAAACAACGCCCACAAAAACGAAAAAGAGATTCAAAAAATTTAAATCCATCATTTTAGCATTATTGTGTAGACACTATAAATAATTGTTCCGATTGATAAGCTGGTTCTTTTTCAACTTCATTTTAGGGTTTTGTGAAAATTGGGACTTATGAAGAAGACGATTATTTCACATTTATATTCTAATGATTTGTGGATGAGGAAATAGCATTTTTTTTTTTTTTTTTTTTCTTTCGAAATTTAAAATAAAATGCATAATTACTTAACATAAATCCATATGCTCTGGATATTTCTTTGAAAAGCCTTTTAAATGATTTCAGAACTCATTAGGAACCTAAAAGTAAAGTTTCCATTTATGATATTTGTACAGTTGATAACAAAACGATTTATGCGTACTGTAGAATTTTTTATAAAAAAAAAAATATTTTTTTTTTGTCTTTTTGCGTTACTCGACAATATCAAATCAAAAAAGATATTTTATTCAAAAATTCGGATTCATTGCAATGTTTTTCTTATAGAACCTAGCTTCAATCAAAAAAAAATTTTTTTTCATGATATTATTTTCATTAATCTTAAATTATGAATATCACTGGCAAAAAATCTCGGGCGATGCTTCGAGTTTAGTTATTCAAGTTTTATTGCTTTTAATTTTAAATTTTTTAATTTTTATATTTTTATGCGAAACAATTGTTTTAATAGATTTTGGTTATTGTTAAAATAGTGAAAATACTTGGACTATATTATGGATTTAGTTATGTGAGTTTTATTATTTTTTTTTATATCTTTATGCAAAATAAAAAAAATTTTTTTATATATTTTAGTTATATTAAAATAGTGAGTTGGTCTGAATTATACTTTGGAATTAGTTATTTAAGTTTTATTTTTTAAATCCTATTTTAGAATAGCAAAGAAATCTAGATTACACACTAAATCTAGTTATTTGAATTTTATTTTTAAAAAAATTTTTAAATAAAATAATTTATATCAAATGTTGATTTTTTATTTTGAATTTTTATATTTTTGTATATTTTTTAAAAAATTTAATAATTATATGTGAATATTATTCTAAATTTAATCATTTGAATTTTATTTTTTCAATTTTTATATTTTTATATAAAAATTTTTTTTTAATTTTTATATTTTTATATAAAAATTTTTTTCTAATTTTTATATTTTTTTATAAAAATTTATTATTGGTATAACAAATAAATTCAAAATATGTTTCAAGTTTATTTAAAGTTTTGTTTAATATTATTAATTTTTTTTATTTTAAAAATGTTTAATTAATATTAAATATCAAATAGATCCAGATTATATTTTTGATTTTATTATTTATGTTTTATTTTTATTTATTTTTATTTTATATTTTTATACAAAATTTTTTTGCTTAATTATATTTTAATTAAAATAAAGAATAGATTTGAATTATATTTAAAATTTAATTATTTGAATTTTATTTTATTTTTTAAAATTATATTAAATTTGATTATATTATTTTTTTTACAAAAAATTAATTATTGATTATTTTAATTTAATTTAATTTAATTTTAAAATAAAGTTTAATTATATGGATTTGTTTTTTAAAAGTTTTTTTAAAAAATTGTATAAATTTTATATATTTATAAAAAATAAATTTTATAAAAAAGATTTATCAATTATATTTTAATTATTGTTAAAATAATTATTGTAGTTTTAAAATAGATCTTTAAAGTTTAATAATATAATAAATATTAATAAAATATATTAATTAATTAGATAAAAAATTATTTTTATATAATCTTTTTTAATTATATAATTATAAATCTTAGCTTTTAATTATTAAAAGATCAATGGTTCTATTTTTATACAATTTACTATAGTTAAATTAAAATATAATTTTTAAATAATCAAGTATAACTTTTATAAACTTTTTGATAAATTTAATTAAAAGAGATTTTTTTATTCTTTTATATTATTAAATTCACAACTTTATAATTTTTTTTTTTTTTTTGAAACCGTAACTGGTATTAGATGCGAGCACTTTTTATTAAGAATTAACTTAACATCTTGGATAATGAAATCCTGGACATCACATCAATCATCTCATACAAATTATATATTTCTATATACATGCAGATTAATGATAACCTATCGCGGTTATCTCTAGGTGGACCCATTAACCACTCTGTGAGTGGGGCAGACCCAGCTAGAGACTGGATGGTCAAATATACAGTCATCGATGGTGAAATATGTTAGTCTAGCAGTAAGCTTTTATAAATTTTCATATTATATTTGCTAAACTAGGCTGTATAGTGTGTACTCGACAGGATTTAATTTTACCCTCCAATACTCCCAAAGATATTATTCGCTCAGATCTCAAAAGGGGGCACTTTACCTTCTTTGTCACCACCTGTGGCATCGGATCAGTTGCTTGACTGATTTTCATTTAAGCGGAGCACTATATTGGGATATCCTGAGCTATAAGGATGGGAGTCCTGGAGATTGTTAAGGCAAAGGGTCTGTGGGCATTTATGATAGGTTAGACCAAAAGCCTTTCTTCATGCAATCCTTTTGATAGTATAACTGTAAATCTCAGTTCCTGATCGATGGAAGGCTAGAAGTCCCATCTTCATGTAGCCTGACCTGATTGAAACTTGTTCCGAATGATTGGGTATAACTTTCACAGGATAACCGGTAAACCTGATCAGAAGGGTAATTTGATTTTTGATCCTTAAGTGGTATTGAACTGCAGACCTTATGATTGCGACCTGAGAGCACTACCACTGTGCTATTGACCCACAGATCATATATATAGTATATATTGATTATAAAATATAAAATATTATATATTTACTATATATTTTTTTATAATATTAAAAGGATAGATTAAAATATTCAATTAATTATTTTAAATATAAATTAAAAATCTAGTTTAAAAAAAAATCTTTTTATAAATCTAAAAAAAGTCAAAGTTTATAAAATAATAATCTTAATAATAAAATTGAATTCCTAGTCAAATTTGTTAGAAAAAAGTTCTATAATATAACAATGCATATTAAATTTAAAAAAAATTTTTTTTATTATAACTTGAAATAATTTATTCATTAGTATTGATATTAAAGATTTTATCAAAAGTTAAAATTAAAAAGAATTGAATTGATTTGAATTAAATAGAAAAAAATTTAAAAATAATGAAAAAGTAAAAAATTAAAATAAATTGAAAAAATTTTTTGTCAATTTAACTTATAATAAGCATTTTATATATTTATTAAAACTAATAAAAAAAAGCTTTTTAATAAATTTAATATATAACAAATTATTTATATTTTATATATTCAAAAAAAAAAGCTTGATATATATTTAACAAATATTTATTCAAGATATAATATTTCTAAATAAACAATTAAACACTTATTTGAATATTTAATAACGAGTTTTGTTAAAATATAAATTTGAAAAAATATAAATAAAAAATTAGTTTAATATCTAACTAAAGAAAAAAATTATTGTAAAAATTTTAAAAATATATTTAAAAAAAAATTAATAAACAGTTCAAGAAAATATAAAAATAATATTAAGAATTTTATAGATTTAATCATAATTATTTATACAAAGATAAAATTAAAAGAATTCAAGAATATTTCAAAAATTAGTATAAAATAAAATCAATTATTACAAAAAAAGCAATCAAGAATTTTTGTCAATAAATATAAGAAGTTTCAGAAAAAAGATTTAAAATAATTATTATACTATTGTAATTGAGTAAAAGAAAATTATAAATATAATATTAAAAGAAAAAAATATAAGACTTCAAGAAACAAGATTGATAGTATTATAATAGAACTAAAAAAAAAAGATATTTTAATACTTAAAATGATAGATTAGAATATACATACTTTAGAAAAATTATCTTTTGAAAAATGTTATTGAAGAATGAATAACACATGAGAAAAATAGTTAGATTTTTAATTTATAAAATAGAACTTTAAAAAATTTACAATAATAATCTATAAGTATTAAACTTTATAGTTAAAAAATAATTTAAACTATAAAGAAAATAAAATATTATTTTCTAAATTGTATCTAAAAAAAATTTCAATAACAAGTGAACTGATATTTAAAAGTTATTTAAATTGAAATTATTTTTATTAATATATAATAAAGACAAGTCATATTAATTTGATGATAGGATTAAAAAAAATATCAAGTATTAAAAAAAATTAGATAAAAATTAATAGATAAATTATTGATTTAAAAAAAATTTTTTGTAATTACTTTAAGAAAGATATATAAAATTTTAGATATAAAAAAATTATTAAATAAAAAAGAAATCTAGATATTTATTATAGTAATAAAATCAAATAAATTTCAAATATTTAATTTAACCAATTCTTAATATTAATTAAATCCTAACAAATATAAGAAAAGATAAATAAGAAATAATTGAGATAATTAAAAAATTGTGTAAAAATAAATATCAAATAATTGAATTTTAATTTTGATCAGAATCCATGAAAAAGATTTACAATGGTGACCAAAGCAATAAGGTTTACAATTAGAAGAGTATTAACTGGAATTATAAATGGAGTGACAAATTCCTTTCAAAGTTACACTTAAAGTCAAAATGACAAAAATGAATAAATTAGCTATTGATTTAGTTTTAGAATTCATAGGAATACATATGTAAAGTTTACAATTGTTTAATAAAGCTTACACAACTAGTCTAACAGATTAAAAAATTTTATTAAAATACTTTACATTTGTTATATTTGTCATTTTGAAATAAACACATATACTATATTATTTGATAATAATTAAGGCTAATTACTAATTACCTTTTTAGGAAAAATTTTTTTTATTTCGAATGTGTATCACTAAACCACAACAATCTGAGTTAAACGGTGTGATATTATTTGGTGCAAATAAATATATAGAGAATAAAATACACTTATTCCCTAGCATATCTGGAACTAGTGGGTCCAAATATAGAGCCCTTTTGATTTATTTTAGAAATATAAATCTTATTTAATGGAATAAATATAATTGCAACGCGACGCGAAATCTCATCACACGTTAACATAATATATCACATAATATAAACGTTTGATACCGTTCTTATTCATCACTATCCTCCGAAGAGGAAGAGCTACCGTCAGTGGTAACTTCAATGTTATTATTATCGTTTTCACCAAAAATTCTATCTATCCATTGTCTCAGCGCCTCATTTTTTCTGACTTCTTTAAATATGAACTGGTAATGTTTAAAGAAAAAATAAATAAAATAGTAATTCATAGGAAGCAGAGTATAAGAGGAATTTTAGTGTACCTGCGCGTAATTGTCAATGTTAAACTTAAACGGTCTTTGACCAAAATTTGCTTCAACAATTTCGCCTCTGGATCTCAATCCAATCATTGGATACAAATTACCTTCTACATTTGTGAATGCAGTGCCTGAATGAGATGGTCAGGTCAATAATAATTCACGAAATCAAAAAAAAAAATTTTCGTATAGACTAAAAAAAGACGTTTCAAACCTAAATGAACACCATTTTTCGTGTAAAAAGAGGTGCCTTCGAAAAAATTTATACCAACTCCGATGGTATCACCTGTGGTAAATAAAGGACCGTATGGTTCACCAGTTCCTGATGAACTGAACTTTTTGCCATCATCTCCATGATACCCAAAGGATTTGTCATCCCATCCTACGGACATGTATAAAAAAGACCGAGGTATTCAGTTAGTCGTTCTATAATTATTCAACATTTGTGGTAGGAAGCCTACCTGGAAGACCATTCACGGAAACGTTCGATTCACCAAATCCGATACCAATATATCTACCATAAAAAAATTAGTATAATTCAAACGCGGAGTCTTTACTAAATCCTAAAATCAAATAATGTAGGCATACCCATGTTGTCCTCGATCTATTATATCTACTTCAAAATAATATAATCCAGCCTCTATGGGCATTGAATAATTAGCTCGTATTGAAGCAGCATGAGCGTTGAAAAGACCCGGTCCTATTATAATTGTATCAACAAGCATTAAAAAAAAGAGTGAATGTCAATCAAAGCAAACTTCAAAATTTATTTACCTTTGTAGAAAACCGTTAACCCATTGTCGCTAACTTCTAGCAAATCGAAAGCATCGTATTTATTTAATATCGTTGGCATACGAATCGGTTGATGTTCGTACTCTTTGTTATATTCTCCTATAGGAGTATTGATTAGATAGGAAGGAGTGAAGTCTATGGGAAACTTCGAGGTCATTTTTGAGGGAAAAAGAAAAAGGGCCCAGCACAAAAAAAGGTGCCAGTTGTTTTTATAATTTCGTGGTCATATGGTGATATAACATTCTGATTGGACAAATTTAACGAACTGCGGTGATAAACAGGGAAATGAAAAAATCGGGCAATAGTTTCCGTGGTGCTATACTTCGCGCTTTAACTTTCAAAGTAAATATGTAAAAATTTATTTTACTAAAAAATTGTCTTTTATATCTATAATAAAATTCTTAGTCATGTTAGTTATGTATGCTTTACTAAATTATATATATACTAGCGAGTACATAATTATTTTTTTGATATTTATTAATATTCTTATTGATACTTAATTAGCATAGATCACTTTATCAAATATAGCATGTGACATGATTTATTACAGATCAGGAGATTCAGAAGGTTCAGAAGAATCAAGTGATCTAAATGGCTTATTTTTACAAGCATATAAATAATAGTAATTTGTTCAAAAGTAGAATAAGTTTATAAGAATAACTTTATCTAACTTTTGAAAAATTAAATATTTTTTCTTGACTTTAAAATTAAAGAAATGATTTTTTTTTCTTAATTTATTAATAAATTTAGGTTTTGAGCAAATTATATTTTTGTAAAATACTGTGTGACACTGTTTAAAGGAATTTTTGATAAATCTATTCTTGAATTTTTCTTTATTAAAATAAATTATTTCTTAAATTATTTTTTTGAAACTATTTTTTAAAAGAAATTCCATTTGAAAATATGTATTTGTTAAATATAAATTAGATTATATTTTAATAATAATAACAATACTTTACTCTTTTAAAAAAATATTTAGATAAATTAATCTTTTTTTTTTGAGTACCCATATTTAGATAAATTAATTTTTTTTAAAAAGATCCTTAAATAAATAATAAATTTATTAATTGAATATTAAAACTACTATCAGATTTTATAATTACTTATTTTTAATATTCTTTTGATATTTAATTACTTTATTTTACATTTTACTTTTTAAATACTTCTTATTACAATTCATATGATATAATCTATTTATTACAATAGTAGTAAATAATAACAATTTCAATTTTTTTAGAAATTATATTATCTGATCTTTTTTTTTATTACATTTAACTAAATTTAGTTGAAATGTATTTATTAAGACTTTTAGAATAGAAAAAAAAGTTTTTAGTATCACTAGTATAATACATGACTTTGTTTATAAAAAATTGTCTTTTCATTAAAAAGCTTTGGAATTATAAATATAAAAAAATCAGAAAAGTTAAAAAACTCATCAAATTTTCTAATAAAATACTTTATAAATAGATTATTCAACTTGCTAATACTGGATAATTGAGGTAAAGCAAGTATTCTGATCATCTTTTATTTTTTAATCTTATATAAAGAAAGTATTTTGGAAAGATTGCTATAGAAAATAGAATTATAATAAGCAAAAAACTAGTTAAGACACCTAACAACACTTATTAAGACCTTAATATTTCACTATATATAATTTGTGATAATCTTCAAAAACTTAAATATAAGATATGTATTTTCTATAAAGTTTTTTCTAATGATATAATTATGGAATATTAACTTATCTGAGTACAAAAATATAAAAAGCTGAAGAATCATTTCTATCTCGAAAGGTTAAAAAATATTTATTTAAAGTTCATATGTGAACTTTATTTTATAATAAAAAAATTATTAACTTTTATATTTTAATAAAAATCATAAATAACAAATTTTATCATTAAATAATTATCCAAAACTTATTTGAGCATATTAATAAAATCCTAGATCACAAATAGATATTTTAATAAAACAATAATCCTAAGTATTATGTAAAACTTACTATTGATTTGTTGTAAAAATAATGTTTATATATATTTAATTGACTATTTTTATTTTCAAATCTCAATCCAATTGAGAATCTGTGAACCTTATTGAAAAAATATATTAAAAAAAAAATTAATTTTAAGATTTATAAAAAAAAATAATTTATAAAATAATTTTACAAGTTTAATAGAAAAAATTGGATGTAGAATTATATCACAAATTAGTATAATTCAACCTGTAGATCAATAGTGTAGTAAGTATATTTCCAAATTACTATTTGTGAATTACCAGTTAAATTCCACTAAAGAATAGTTTATACAATATAGGTTATATTGTATAAGAATGCATGCTAATCAGCCACATGTATACTTGGACTAATCAACCTATAAAAACTTACTATTCGACTATAGTATAATAAATTAGGTCACACAGGTCCAGTCAGTTTTAGTACTAGGAAAAAAGATAAAGATTCTTGTTATCCAGAATATGTAAAGACACTAAAGAAAGTTAGAAAATAATTCTGATTGATTCATACCTCCAATAAAAATGTGAATATCCATCTCTTCTTGAAAAATACTCTTATAAAAAATTTGGGAGATTTCAGTCATTTGTACCAGTCGAAAATATAACAAACTATAATAAACTTGAATTAATGGAAAATTCTATAGATTGTAAAATCAATGGTTACCAAAAAAAACAGCTTGCAGCAAGGTTGGTGATTAGCTTTAGTGTCATAATAGAAATCATAATGGATAAATACATTTGTGAGAGATCTAAAGTTTTATTTGATCAAGAAATACTTTTGTAGGTTATATCTGGTGAGTGGTTAAAAATAGTCACAATGGAAGACTATATGTTATTTGTATAGCATACCATTGAACTAATTGAATATCAATATATAACCACTATGCATGAAAAAATTAAGATTTGAACCAGCTCTCTAAGGACTATATATGGTAAGAATCATTCACAGTATCTACCATTATCAAGTGGTAAACAAGACCATACTAAGGAACATACATCACAAGCCCCTTGAAGATTAAATATAAAAGGAAGTTTATAGTAGATCTTTGGAATGCTATAGGCTCAGACAGAGTAGGACAATTGATAAAAATGATACTACTATGTATTAAAATTTAATGAACTGAATTGGGAATAGGTAGCTTAAAAAAGAGGTTATATGAATTGTTCATGTAATCTGAAAAATATACTACTGAAATTTCAATAAAAATTTGTCCTATCAACTGAACTAGTTAAAAAAAATAAATAAATTAGTATGATCCATATTTAAAAAAATAAATTAGTAATAGAAAATAAAGAAAATAAGACAATATTAAAAAAATAAATAATAGGTTTTAAGTGATATATAATTAAAATTTCAAGTTCTAAAAATAAAAATTGATTAAAGTTTATTATATTACTTTGATTGTTATTATTTATGGCCACTACTATATTTGTATTATATTAACATAATTTTTTCTATTACTTTATTATTTATAAATAAATAATATTTTTTAAGATTCTTGAAATTAAGTAAACTATTTATACAACTTGAACCAATCTTGAAATAAATATCTTTTATAAGATTAAAATAATAAAAAAAAAGATAATAAAAAAAAATTTTTTTTGAAATAGTGCTTAGCCTTATTTTATTAAACTTTTAAGTTAAGGCATAATACAAATACAAGAAATAGTTATTAATAAAATATTCTTAGAATTGTTTATAAGTTGTTAAAATTTTATACTACTATTACTATTTTAATTTTATAGGTTAATTACTTTTTAAAAGTTTCTTTAGTTGAAGATATATTATCTATTTTTAGCTTTTTTCAATATTTTTATATTGTAAAATCCTAACTGCTTCAATTTACTGAATAGTTTATTATTAAAAAAAATTACTTGAATTAATCTAATTTATGCATTAGGAAAGAAAATTTATTAATCCTTCTAAATTTTTCCTGATATACATGCTCAAGTAATGCATATTATTTCAAAAAAAATTTTTTGATTTTCTATATTTCACCTATTATATAAACCCAACTTTGTTACAGGAACTTATATTTGAATCTTTATCTATTTGATAGGCTAAAAAAGAAATATATTCAATAGCCAGAAGTAGGTAATTGCAACTATAAAATCTAGTCATAGTATCTTATAACCTTTATTATAATTAGATAAATTCTTTTTTTAAAGAATCAATAATGTAAATAAAAAAGTATTCTATATTTATATATATCCATCCAATGACTTTTTATGAATTCCAGGTTTTTATGGAGCTAAGGAAATACATTCAGATATATAAAATAACAAATATAAACTTGTTTATATTCTGTTATCAATGTGAGCTCTATTAATCCAATTATGGTATAAAAAACTTTGTACTAATCAAAATTTAAAATCAAACTAAGATAGATAAAATTCTTTCAAAAAAATCAAGAATGAGTACTATTTGAATATTATAAATGACAAGAGAGTAGGAAAGTTATCTCTTATCAATAAATACATTTCAGGAATATTTCTCTACAATATAAAATGATAGTATATTAGTTCTTTTTTCTTTCAGAACTTTTTTATCTTTAATAGAAAAGGTGTTTCTTAACCTTTATAATTACTAGCAATCAAGTTTTTGTTTAAAAAGAATGATAAATAAAAGGAAAATAAGTATTAATAATTCTTGAAGTTTCTTTAAGTTGATTTAAAAAAAGTAATAAAATTTTATTAACTTAGAAGTATAAAAACTTTTTTTTTTTTTTTTTTTTTCCCTCTTTCAGGCTAATTATGTGTGCTTTATTAAACATTAGTATATTATATATATAAAATAAATCGCTAAAGCTAAATCTCTAATTAGCTCACTCATCTTGATTATTACTACTTTAAGTGTAACTTCAGGAATAATTTATTGCTCCATTAGTAGCTCAGGTGAAAACCCTTCCAACTACTAATTTCATTGCCTACAGATCACTATTGTAAATCCTCCTTATAAGTTCTAACAGAAGTTAAGATCCTAACCATCTTATTCCATACTTTACTTCTTCTAGAAAGGTTTGTTTCAGACCTTCATCTTCAAGTTTTTTTTTTCCAGTACAGATTTTTTCGTAGTTGTGGTCTTGTTATTCTGATTTAATAGACTGGCTAATCTTCTTATTTTGTCTTCTCTATGAATCCCTTGTACTTGTT